GTAGTCAAGTAAATGGGGGGGGCAGCCACTATATCTTGTGTGCTTAGTGTCCCTTAAATTTAGCAGCATTCTGCACAAGAAGAGGTAGCAGTAATTTCAGAAAAGCAAAACTATAGTAATGTTTACACTGGAGTCACTATTAATATTAGAGCACTTGAGGGAGTTTATAAGAGAAACGGTGTGTTACCTTAGAGATACTCCTACACAAGAAGCTCTGCAATGTTCTAAATGACTACCACTTCACAGACACACCTTCATATCTTCCCTCGTAGTTGCTTGATAGCACACCATACACATGTATATACATATATACCTGGTCATAGAAAACCTCACAACAGAGCAGGACCTCTGGCCAGCAGATCCTGGTTTAAGTAAATGAAATGGTAGTATACCTGTGAGTCTCTCAGTCTATGATCTTGTGCAGGGAACTAAAGGGGTCACTGAAATCTTAGCCCTCCCATACAACCTCTTTGCTATGAGACAGTTGCTATGCAGGAGGATTGCAAGGGAAAAATCAAAACTCCTATCACTAAATCTATCAAACTGTCCTAATTTGTGGGCTATATTTAAAGGGCAATGTAATGCTGATTTATTGCCAAGAAAGATGTTAATTATGCATAAATTCTAGTCAAAAACAATAAGTCATACTATATATAGTGTGGGAACAATCACCCACACCCAAAGAATGGACTTAGGGACTTGTAGGGCAGTGGGGTTAAATTTTCAACAGTGGTCTTGCAAGATCAAGTATCTGGTTAGCAGACATAGCCAAGGTCTTATCCCTTAGTGTGAAGGCCCTTCCCCAGGCTCCCCATTGGCTGATTAGAATGGGGTATACGATCTTTCTGAACATCATCTAACCTGTCTCATTTCATTATGAGACGTTCCTTTTGCTCAGTTCCCCCACTTATGTCTACATTTCCCAACAAAGACTTTCCTGCTAGTTCATCCTTGCCCCAGTATCCTGTTTGCTTAGGGGCCTTCCAGATGCATGAACTTTGTCACATCAGCAAGCCATTCGGCAAGTTTAGCTGCTAGTAATTTTCCACTCTGAGCTCAATTTCTAGTTTGAATGAGGTAGCTAGGAGGCTTCTACAAGCAAGTACTGGCCATTAGGGCAAGGACTCATGGATGCCTGCTTATCTGTAACATGTAAGCCTAAACCTATCAAAGGCATTTTTTTGTCTTAAAAACAGACCATCATATATTTTTTATTCCAAAACATATGTAATTACATATTAAAGCATGTATTCACATGCACACTTAAACTTTACTCACAAAATATCACAAACTGGGAAAATTTACACATGCATTTTTTTAAAAGCATTAAATTATGTTTAATTCTACTTAACCCATCATATAAAATCAGATCTAGTGAATGGCACATTGCTCATTTGCACTATCTTTATAACTCTCAATTCTTAAATCAGAAAAGATTCTGTATGTAATGTGGGAGGGTCCCATGTAACACAGGTCCCTATAACCCCTGACTCTGGAGGCCCGCCATCTAATATCCTCTCTGGTGGATCTATGATATGTCCATGCATTACAGTTCTTGTTGACAGCCTGTTGCCTTGGAAATATTTCATTATTTCAGTTTTTCCATTTGTAGACCCTTGGCCTTGTAATATGAAGGCCATCCTATTTCATATTTTCGATTATCATTTAAGCAATCTTGTGGAGATATATATATATATATAAGCAAGTGTTAGACAACGCCTATCATCATTTATCACTGTTTAAGCTAGCGCTGTAGGAAAACCTTAGGAAAGGTGCCCACCACCACCTTTGCCTTTTAATGCCTTGCAAACCAGCATGGGCACAGCACATGCTTGACACTTCTCTCTAATTTTCTTGGTTATAGGTCCATAGAGCGGAACAACTCTGCCACAGTGCCATATAATTTGCAGCCTATTAGAGTTTAAAGAAAATCAAACAAGTATATATACACAAGGTTGCCAACCTATTCTTTCAAGCTCCAGAACCATACTCTTTGTATGTGTGACTTGGGGACCTTTAAGTGCTAAACTGTCACTAAAGACATTATCAAGAACAAGCTTCTCTGCACCCGATTATACAGAAAGAACCCTTGCACACTATTATATGAGGACATTTGACACATTAGTCAAACAATGCAAATGATACCTTTCCCTTAGCTTTGACGGTGGGTATATCTGAAGAGCAGGCGTGTGCCCATAAACAGCTGTGTGGGATCAGTAAGATGAGAGCCACTCTTAAAATAAATTGAAAAAAAAAACTTAAAATAGATCCACAGAAAAACCATCATTCACCCACATATTTGTGTTCAACTGTTAACTACAGAGAAATACTGGTCACCAGCCAATTCTGGGCGCAAAGTACAAACCACGGTGCAATGACCGACTTATTTGAAAGAAGGTTCTATGAAAAACAACTTCCTTTTAAACACACCATCTGACTTTCTCATTTCTCATTACAAAATGAAAACAACTTATACTTGTGACTTTTACACTTGAAAAGTGTTAAGAACATTTAAAATCCTGGTAACCCAGTGAATCCTTGGGGTATAAAACAACTGTTTGGATAATGGGCCGAGTTTGTGGTTATTACTATTTCAAACAGTTTATAACTCCCTCCTTCTCTCTTCTATAAAGTAGCCTCCATCTCCGACCCACTTATTACTCCTCCCTCTCCCTATAGGTTACAGTTTCTTAGAGCCAACCTTTAAGATGACAGCATCCAAGCTGAACAAGATGCTATTAAAGGACATTAAATTAAATACAGTATATCCTCCTACAACTTCAATCAGAATTTCAGACCAAGTGTTATTTAGTTCAGCTCTCAAGTGGAGCAGAATAACAAATCGCACACTTTGATTTACCTTCCCCGAATGCCAAATGGAGACAGGTGATAAAGAACGCACTCATGCACAGGCTATGAAGTTTCCCCAAGAAATTAATTCTATCTTCAAGATTCCTATCTCAGAGAAATTCCCAAAATGGCACACAAATAGGCCTCTGCTAGAGAGATTACTGGAGCCATCCCAGTAAATGCATTTCCTACCTGCAGAAAAGGGAAGGAAGTAGCTAGGAGGAAAGGAAGGGAGAAAGGAAGGAAGGGAGGGCGAGGAGAAGGGGGGAGGGAGTGATGGGGAGGCAAGGGGGATGGGGTCAATTGTAAACTGACTTCAAAGTATTTATCACCTTGTTAAATGGAAGTCACCACTCAAAGCTTAGGGCAATGCTCTGGGAATAGATTTATCTGCAAGAATAAAATATTTAAGGTGTGAATTCTTCATGAGACACAAATATTAAGAACTAGATGTTCATTTTCATCTATCTTCAGATGTCTGGTTTTCTAGTTTGAAGGTAAGCATTAATGTGCATAGTATTTAACATCTTTTAAAGCTACATGTCATATGACTCACTCCTTCTCCAGCCCATGCTCTTCACAGAATTATCTAAAACGTTAGAATTAGTCACCTATGCATCTACTTTTAAAAGCTGTTTCCTTAATCCTGATCACTGTGCTGTCTTTTTTTAATGTGGAGGTAATGCATACCAAAAACAAATAAAAAAGAAATACCAAGACAGTAGGTTTTAAAATGAACAGTTGTCTTCGAGTCTCCCCATTTTTGCTTGATACATTAAAGCTATGCTGTATCAAAAATAAAACTATCCATGTGATAATCAAGTCTTGCATCTAAGCTCATCTCTCAGCTTCTTTTCAAGTTCTAAGCCTATGAGGAAAGGAAGTGCTTGCTGGGAGGGGGGGGCATGTGGAACTCTATTTGTTTTCTTCTTGAATCAACGGATAACATTTCATACTTCCTACTGAGCCTTTCCTCTTGGAGACAGAAAGAGATATTCACTTTGCTCAAACCGATATGCTATATGCAATTAATGTCATTAACGCTGTCAATTAATAGCAAATAGGCTTCTAAACAAAGTAGGCTGGATGGGCAGCGGGAGGGAAGCACATTGGAGCTGGGGGGCGGGGTTCAGTCACTCTGAAGCCTAACAATGCTGTTCACGTAGGATGGTTAGGGATGTTTTGAACACAAACTCCCTTTCCCGTTGGCTCGAGAAGTTTAACTAACTTCAGACAGACATGCTCCACTGAGCCCCTTGCCTGGATATGCAATTCTCACCAGGAACTTTTTCAAACACACATCCCCAAACATAACTAACCGGGGCAGAGATGCTCACACCACTGACACATTTTGGATCTTGCTGTTTGTTTGCTCATTTAGACTTAAGGGGGTTCGCCTTTCTTTTGCTTTCTCTCTTATTTCCTTTTTCTTTTTTTATTTTTCCTGGAGAAGGGGTGGAGAGAAGGGGAGGGCAAGAGCGCAGGGCAGAGTCGGGGACCCACAAGTTGCCTGGCCCAGGGCAGCAGCAGCGGGAGGTGGCGCGCCTGGCTGAGCCTGCCCGGCCTAGCCGCTCGCGGAGACTGCCCAGCCCCTTGAGCCCTGCGCTCCGCTCCCGCCCCAGCCTCCTCCCCCTCCCCTCCCCCTCCCCAGCTCATTCCCTTCCTAGAGAGCAGCTGCCACGGGACCTGCGGCGGCCGGGGGATCCCCGGCCCCCACCCTCCCTCCCGCGGCTCCGGGCACACACGGCGCCTTCTCTTTGGGGGTTTGTTTGTCTTTTTTTTTTTTTTATCTTTCTCTCTCTCTTTTGCCTTTTTTCCCTTCCTCCTTTTTTCTTTTTTCTTTTTCTTTTCTTTTCTTTTTTTTCTTTTTCTTTTTCTTTTTTTTTTTTTTTTTTTTGCCATCAGCGAGTCACTCCATTCGCCGAGCTTAGGAGGTGCGACTGCTCGCCGGCCGCCGCCGCCAGAGCCCGCTCGCTGCCGCAGCCGCGGCGGGCGGACAATGCGCGGGGACCCGGCAGCGCAGCCCCCCGCTCCCCCCCGGGACCGCGGGCCGGGCCCCGAGGAGGGCTGCGCAGGGAGCGAGCCCGCCACCCCAGCCGGCGGCGGGAGCTGGACGCGGGCGGCAGGTTCAATAAACAGAAAAGTGTTACCGTTCTCGCCTGGAAGGATCCTGCTGAAAGCTGGGCTTGGTGGGCGCCATCTTCCTGCAATTTTTTTTCCTCTCTTACTTTTTGCCTCGCTCCCCCCCTCCCGGGGCGGGGGGCGTGGGGAGGGCGGGGGTGTGCGTGTGCGTGGGCTGGCGGGAGAGAGTGCGGGCGTGCGCGGCGCTCGGGGGGCCCGGCGGGCGGCGGCCGTGGCCGTGGCCGTGGCCGTGGCGGCGGTGGCCGCGCTGCCTGCCGAGGCTGGGAGGCTACGGGAAAGTAGTGGGGCCCGAGCGTCGCCGGCGGCCGGACGTCCCCTCGCGCCCGTAGTGCTCCCCGCCGCAGATCGCCGCCTCCTCGGCCGCCCGAGCCTGATCCTCCCCTTGCTCGCCCGCCGCAGCCGCCGCCGTCCATGCGCTGCACAGCGCCCGCGGCCCGGGCCGCCCCGGCTCCCGAGACATGCCCGGCGCGGAGACAGGCGGCCGGCGCGGGCGGCGGCGGAGGAGGGGCGGGCGGCGGGGGAGGCGGCCGCGCGGTCCCGCGGGCAACCCGGCCAGGGCCTCCGGGTGCTCGGGCCGGCGCGCGCTGCAAGCGCCCTCGCCGCAGCCACCGGGGTCGGGCCGCGGGCAGGTGGGGAGCACACCGTCCAGGCAGGCGGGGCTGGGGGGGGGGCGTTGGTGGTGGCAACGGGGTCCTAAGAGTGGAGGGACCCGGAGGGGGAGGACACGCAGGGGGTTCCCAGCTTGACCACTGGGAAAGTATTTCTGGGCATTTTCCAGCTGCCTTGCTCCAGAGCTCTTTCTCCGCCTGCAAGCAGATACACACCCCCTTTCCCCTTCCCCTCCCCCTCCTTCCCCCCCCCTCTCTCTGTCTCTCTTCCTCTCTCTTTCATTCCTCCCTACCTCACTCCCCCTTTCTCTATGTCTCTCGGTGTCTCTGTCTCTGTTCTCTCTGTCTCCCCCCCACCCCAGTTTCCCTCTCTCTCCCTTCCTCCCTCCCTCCGTGTGTCCCTCTCTCTCCCTCCCTCTCTCTCATTTGGGGACTGGGAAGCTTGGCTGCTGGCGCAACAACGCCACTCAGTTGCAGTTTCAAACACTTCCCTTCTCTAGAGTATTTCAGCCTGCAGAAAAGAGAGAGTGGGGATTAGAATGCCCTGAGAGTGGGCTGGACCGTCCTGGGGGGGGGGCGCAGTGGAAATAAAAGCGTGAGGAGATGAGTCTTGAGCTGGCCAAGGCCAGCAGGCCCAACAGCCCAGTGCCTCTGAGCAAGGATGCAGGACCTGCACCTTGTGACTCTGGCGCCCTCAGCCAGGAGCCTGAGCTGGAACATCTGCATTTTTTTTTTTTTAAGTGCTTACAGATATGCTGACCCCAGGGTTCACAGGCCAGTCCCCATGCCTTGAAATGCAGTTACATACAAATGCCATTGCAGAGCCAGGTCCTGGTACCTGGGACTGGATTGCTGGCTTCTGGAATCTAGTCTGATCACCTCAACATTAAACTGCCCAGCCAGGCCTAGAGAAATGGTGACTCAGTGCAGAGCCAGCTGGAGTCCTATTGCCTGAAGAGACCCTGGGCTGAGCATTTGTGCACTGTGCCTCCGCCAAAGGAGGGCAGCTCATTTTTGTAGACTAGTGCCAGTCCTGCACTGCATCACCCAAGCAAGAAAGACACCAGAGACAGTGCCACAATGAACAAATGAGTCTGATGGGAAACATTCTTAAGGGAATCCATGCCTTCTGCTTTAAAGTTGGGACAGGGTGGGTACTCAATAGGTGTCCCCTTCCTGTAAAGTAGGGAAAGGATTCTGAACCTCCACTGAATACACTAGCCTATGGTGGTAACAGTGTAGACATCTTCATGGATATTGAATACTCTTTGGAGCAGTTGTAGGTACACTCCACAGGTAGAGAACAGTTGGGAAATGGATTGGATCAGTGATGAGTATTGCCTACAAGACAAATGGGAGCTAGCAAAGAAGAGGGACAGTTAGCCTGTTGGAAGTTCTTCCAGGGGAGACAGTGTAGGGCAATTTTGCCCAGCAGTGACAAATAAGAGACACTTGTGTTTTCTCAACAGGCAGACCACTGCTTGAAAACCCACTCCCGTCATCCTCTTCCCATCACTTCCCAAAAATATAATTTTTTTTCATTTTAATGATGCGTCCAGGTGGAAATTAAGTATACCCTCAGAACCCTGAAGCCTGTGCTGGTGATGAACTGTGAAAGGAGATTCCTGGCTTAAACTTTACCTCCAAGACCTGCCAATAATTTTCTTGCCCAATTCTTCTGCCCCCGATTAACTAAAATTAAAGATTGTAACAGGTGGCATGAGATCTGAGTAAGAAAACCAAAGGAAACTTCACTGTCTCTACTGTCATCTTACCTTCTGGCAGTATGTGACAACATTTAAATGGACAGCAGGAATAAATAAAGCACAGCAAAGGAGAAAGTTGAGAATTGTTTTTTACAGCCCTTGTCTTCAGAAGAGCAGTGGGATTGGGATTTAACAAATGGCCTGTGTCCAAAAAGAAGTGTCAAGGGGATATATTGAGGGAGACACTGGGGTGGGGGGGGGAGCTGCCCCTAGTGCTCCTGACTTGAAGAAAGATGAACCCCAAGATCATATCTTTCTAAAAGACAATGCCAAAGCTGAGATAAAAAAAAAAAAAAAAAAAAAAAAAAAAACTGAAAGCCTAGAGTCATGACAGCCCCTTATGTGCAATTTACATCTTATTGGTCAGCTCCAGTTCCTGGAGGTCCCTAGAATTGTCCAAAGGCCAAGTGACATTTCTGACCCTTGAATCTCTTCTTCACGAACCAAACTATTGTCACTATTTCCTACACTTCCTAGTTAAAACGACCGATAGATTCTATTGTCATTTAAATGTTTTATAAATGACAAAAAAAAAAAACATACCTGAACCATAAAAGGGGGAAAAATGAATTCTCTACTGGTGTTCTACCTTTGGAAGATGCCCAGATCTTTCTTATTAAGGGTTCCCTGTAATCGCTGGAGCAAAAAAAGTCTAAAATAATTTAAGCAAAAAAAAAAAAAATCTCTTTGACAAGGATTGGCCCCCCCCTTTGAGTTATTTTCAATGACTTCTTTTTAAACTTTTGACAATAAGCAGGGCATGTAATGAAGTCTTCTACAGAATATTTGCAATTACATGAACTTGGGATATACTGTGTTAGACAAAATCTGGTCACTGGGCCATTGGTTACAAGGCACAAAATATAGCAATGACAGATTACCTAACCTTTGCAGTTTAAATATTGTTGTTTCAAACCAAGGGTTCTCAAATCAATGATGTTTCAAGTATGAGGTAAAATGGTAATTTGAAGTATGCATTGTGTATATTTTAAGTTAAATGCCATTGGCAAATCTCTCAGATGTTTAATCGTGTACAATCTGGGAAACACAAATATTTAATTTCACACTCTCATGTGTTCTTTTTTTCCCCTTCCATCTACCATAAAATTGAGCCCCATGAATGAAGAGTTTACCTCTTTTGATTACATTGTTGGTTTTTCTTATAGCGTTTTTGTAGAACACATTTTCAATAAAATCTTAGAAAATGTAAAGTTGTCCTTAAGGAAAAACTTTAGGGTTAGAGAGCTGTTGGTGGTAAATTAATTTCTCTTTATTTCCTAACCGAATCAAAGGGTGCTCTGTGTTTCAGTAACAATCAGTTTTGAATCTAGAAAATGTCTTTAGGGGAAAAAAAAAAATCCAAGCAAATTCTACTTTAAAACTTCCTTCTCATCACCAAGCCTAACTTTTGTAAAATTTGCTTCTTGAATCTCGGAATCTCACCCATTTGCATTATAATGCGTTTAAGATGAATACTAACAGCGCCTAGGAGATTCAGATTTCAAGTTGTATTTCCTTGTAGTAACAGGTGACATGATCACACTTTTAGGTTGAATTACAAGTCTATCGCTGCACATGAAAATCGTTTCTATCCTATTTGGAAACAAATGATCAATCAGCCTCTGATGATCAATTGCTCCCCTGGCTGTCCCTCAGAGCGGATTCGCACTGGCAGAGACATTGAGAACGTTTTGCTGGAAGGGGAGAGGAAACCCAAACTTTGCAAAAGCATCCAGTGCGGCGCCTCAGACTTCACCGGAACTCTCCAGCTACTCCCGGCTGAGGCTCTACGTTCAGGGCCTGGCAGAGGGCAAAGGATGACTTCACTTCTCCAGTGTACTAGAGTGCTTTTCAGTTCGGATTGTGTAATTCCCCCCTTTCCATCTTCTGTAGCACAGGGTCAAGCAAAGTGAGCCCTAACGGTATGCATGTGTGTTCTCAGGCACAAAACAAGAGCAAAGTGAGTCCCACCCCAGGGCCCGGGGCGGGGGCACTATCCCAGCTCGGGCGGGACTACTCACCGCTGCTGGTAGGAGGTGATGCCCTGGACGTTCTGCGGGGTGCCGTTGGCCGCGGCTCCGGCCCTCCCCATGCCCGCACCGGCCGGTACCCCAGCGGTTGCCCCGCCGGCCGCTGCGGCCGTCACCTGCACGCTGAAATCCGGAAAGATTCGGATCATCGCCGCGGCTTGGAGCCCCAGGCACGGCTGCTCTGGGCTCAGGCTGGCTGGGGCTAAGGCTCGGGTTCGGGCGGCGGCAGCAACAGCAGCGGCGTGAGCGGCGGCGGCGGCAGCAGCGGAGCCAGGCACCAGCCTGCAATCCCATTAGTGAGCCGCGGCCACTGTGCGCGGCGGAGAGGCGCTTTGATGTGCGCGCAGCGGGCTGAGGTGGAGGGGGAGCGAGGAGGAGGTGCGGGGGCTGTGCGAGGGACTTGCAAACAGCAAAACGTGTCAGGGTGGGGCCTTTTCTCCCTTTTGGGGGGCACTGTTGCTCCCCCCTCTTTCCAGGATGTTGCTCTCACTGGCTGCTCCAGCAGCGCCGCGCGAGCCCAGCTGAGGGAAGAAGGGGAGGGGGTGGAGGAGGAAGGATGCACCGGGAGGCTTGGCGAGGACTTGGCCGGTGCAAAGGAATAAGGGGCAGTGGAGGGTGCATTTCTTTCCCTCCCTCTTTCACACACATACACACACACACACACACACACACACACACACACACACAGGGCACTTCCGACCCAAAGTGCAATACTGTGGTGCGTTCTCTCTCCTCCTTTCTCTGGAGAAATAACCACCATCTAGGAAGCTCCAGCCTTCTGTGGCTTCCAGAAACCGGGACCCCAGCCCGCGGGTGTAGGAATGGGGCTCAGTGCCTCCCGTTTCAGCCCGGACCCCTGTGACTCTATTCTCCACACTAAGCAGTGTAAGTGTGGCCAAGTGCAAGTTAGGTTCCTGGGGAACTTGATACTTATCTCGGAGAGGTGGTTTGCAAAGGCGGAGGGAATGGGGGGGGGGCGTTTTGTACAATAGAGAGTTTGGACTGCTTAAAAGAAAGGGCTCTTCCCGCTCCTGATGAGCGGAAGAGTTGGTCCTGGGAAACTTGTGAGGTGGGGTCTGTCGGTCCAGCTAGAGCCGAG